CGTACAATGCGTGAGAGTGCTGCTACGTTATAATTGCGACGTCAATCTCCAAGATTCGCGTGGCTACACAGCACTGCACGACGCGATTACATAAAACGCGCTGGACGTAATCGACGCGATATTCGAATGCGAGAGAGTCGACTTCACGCTGAGGAATCAATGGGACTCCAATATCCTGCATCACGCTGCGCTTCAGAGCAACGCTTAGTACGTGAATAAGGCAGACGAAGTATAGTCGCATAACGATTTATTACGCTCATGTCTGTGTAGCAATAGCGTGTCCACGCTTAGAATTCACCCGATCAATCTAACTATAACGTGAATCTGTGAATTTGCAGTGCAACAAAAAAATTGGTTACACGCGCGCGACATTTGGTGGATGTGAAAATGGAGGACGGATTCGCAGCGTTGCATGTAGCGGCACTGCTCGGATGCAGAGAAGTCGCAGCCATTCTCCTCTCGCAGAATGGTGGCCGCGCGACGGTCGATTTGCGCAACAATCTAGAGGAAACACCGTTGCACATAGCGACTCGGAATGAACACTGGCCACTCGTGGAGCTGCTGGTGTATCACAATGCGGACGTCGGCAGCATAAAAGACGGTAACACCGTCCTGCATATTGCGTGTTTCATAGCCAAGAGCCAGAATCAACAGAGTGTCGTGCCTACACCCGAAAGTAGCCGAGATTCACCACTTATATATGGTGTACGTCGTCTGAAAGTACTTTTAACGTAAACCAATCCCATATATATACATATATACAAAGTTGTGCTGTTTTATATTTAAGGCTGAAGAATTTGAAAAGAAATTGAAAAAAGGGATAATTTAATTATCAATTTTTTCTAACGATCAATTTCTTGTTTCGGGTAGATTTGGCAGAACCTAGCGAGGCAAGGCGCACAAACTGAATTAGCATTAGTTTGTTTCCTAATAAGAGCGGACAAAAGCTGCAAACTTCTTATGCAAGTCAGAAACAACAAAAACATGACACCGTTTGATCTTTTGGAAGACAAGCAACAGATCGCTGTGCTCGCCTATTTTCTAGGATTTTACAAATGCCAAGGTTACAACACGCAGTTAGAGTAAGAAAATACGATTGTTTTAAACGTTCCGCAAGTCCAATCTTCGAAATATAAATTTGATTGAAACACAAAGCTGAATTGATTTACCGTTTTGAAAACTTGTAACGCTTCCGGAATCACGCAATAATTTTGACAATTTAAACTGTTATTAATACGAACGTAAAATGTACGTAATTTGACTTGCAGAATAGAGAACAATCCATCGAATAGTTCCGTAAAACCGCCTGCGTATCGGATAGTTAATATATCGCAGTTGGAAAGATTGCCCGGCGTGAGGAAGAATATAGCCCGCTTTGGTGACGCCGCGGAATATCGGGATTGCTTGGGGATCATAACAGAGAACCGCACAAATCAAGAGAACCGAATTGATCTCAACAGTAGTACCACACTCGTTGGATACGATCATACTGTCGTCATGACGCAAACGATTCAAGGCACGTGATTTTACCGATCTTCTGTAAATAATCGAAATTTGAACAAGGAATCTTAGCGAATTAAGTGTTTGTTGTATCTGCGAGATATTCTGTGTAACAAATTATATATAAACTATGCTTATATATGTATAGACTATGCTATATTACATATAAACTATAACTGTATATATAGAGTCCCGTAAAAATTGTATGCAAACGTTTTACATTATTTTCACATATTTTTTTAGACGATCACCTGACGACGGACGAGGTCATATCCAATCCGGATAAATCGAAGGACGTATCGTCGGAGATCAAACAGAAGGAGGAGATTAGCGATAGGGAGAAGGAGAAAGACAAAGGTCTGGAGCCCCTTACGCTCCAAATATTTCGTTATTTGGGGAACAAAATCGCAGATATGGAAGAGGCGAATATGTGCAGCATCTGCGTAGAACGTCGTCGTAACGTCGTCTTTCTATGCGGGCACTGCGCGTGTGATCTCTGTGCCGTTCAACTAAACACCTGTCATATATGCCGCAAGACGATCACAAAAATTATTGATTTATATTAGACTATCCGATCAATAATCGCGCATCAGAATGTTTATTATCATGCGGTGCGTGTGCAGCGTATCTCAAGAGAAAAGATCGATAATAGCACCAGTGGTAATAATAATAAAATAGTCCTGATGTATCCAGTTTTAAACAGTAGATGCTCGAACACAATTCAGAACGTGAGACATGTATTCGCAGAAAATTTTTTGCTCGCTATATTGCATATTTCCCTCGAGACACTCTGTTTGCTTTCTCAACAGGAAACTCTGCCAGCCACAGGATGTCGGCAAAGGAGAATATTTATTAATTGATCGTAAGGACGCTCATCGTACTTTGAGGCCCGTTTTACAACACGTCGTATGTCGGGTCGTATGTAAGCCGCAAATCGTTAAAACCTGACCAGTCACAATCGAATGTTCTTCTTATATTCGACTGTGATTGGTCAACTCTTACGGCTTACGGCTTACGACCAAAGATATTGCTTACGACCCGACATACGACGTATTGCGGGACTGATTAAATTAAACTTACAAAATGTACGCTTTATTTCCACAAACAATTTGTACGAAAGAGACAAAGCTTTTATATCATATCAAATGCGCCGTCTTGCCAGTGAAACGGATTTGAGCGGAACACGAGAATTGCGTTGCTTGGACACAAAATAGTTCGCTTTTACGATACTTTTATTTAATTTGTACACAATTAAATTAAAAATATTGCAATAAAAAATATCTATTAAAAAAAGTACAAAATAAAATAAGGCTATGAAGGAATCAGAGCGGTTGTAATTGGTGCCCAAAAGTATATATTAACAATTATTAATTACTACATTACTGCATTACGCAAGATGAACGTTTCAACTCTCTTTGGAGTCAATCTCAGCGTTCAACTTAATGGAAATTTGAGCTTCCAATTTGCGGTAATTGATCCTCCAGTAATTATATTAAGTAATCTGTTATTAAAAATTAATTATTATAATACAAGAAAACAAAGGGTATTTTGTATCTCGACGATGTACATCGTGTGATTGTACATCGTGTACGCTTTCCTCTTTTACGAATCGATGTTTGGGCTTGTACTTTATTCCGTGTTATTCCATGTTTAAAGCAGCACGGATAACAAGCACCGAAAGTATCGAGCTTCTCATCTCAACGCAAGAAAACGCGCGATGGTGCTTATGCGACAACAATAGAAGCAAAGAAACGTTCGTATATATCGTCACATTTTTGTGGAGAAAAAAAAAGAATACAGTTTTCATGTGTTCGAAAACTAAGCGAATTCCTGCCCTGAAAAATCGCTTCGCGCGCGCTATTTAACATTTTTCTCTTCTTGCTATATTTGCTATGCACTTCATCAACTTCAATACACACAACTGTCAAAATATGCAATGACAGCTGTTGATCGCGAAATAAGCGCAATCATCATAAAAAATCTCGGAAAAGAGGCTTCAAATTTCGATAGATGCGAGTATCGATGTCATGCCTCTTTTTAGAAAGGACACTTGGCGTCGCACCGCTACCGCGTCGCTTGATAAAAAGTAAAACGATAATAGCTTTTCTAGCTGTCGTGATGTCCGATTGATATGATAAGATTAAATAAAATCATAGCATTTTTATAAAATTTCTATATTTTCTTGTTACTTTTTATCGGATTTGTTGAGCACAAGATTGATTAAATTGATATTAATTGTAATTGATCCATTTCTTATATTATACTCCCAGATAGCACAGAGTGTAACATACGTTTTAGTCGGTGGATAGGAGCGAGCAATAATCTCTCGAAGGTTTATAATCGGATACCTTTTATTATTCACAGTGTTCTCGACACGTAACGTACGAATGCCTGAATGCATGAGTATTACAAAGAATTTTTCTCGAGGCCCTCTATTGACTTAAAGTTATTACGAGTAGGCGAAAGAGGGCGCTAGTCTCCGGGTACTAAACATTCCTAACACAGAGAATGAAAAAAGAACTCAGTTATATGTCACCAATTCTGAGTTCATTTTCAGATCCAAAAAGAATTCTGTTTTTAAAAGAGATTCTTTTTGCACCTGAAAATGAACTCAGAATTGATAACATCAAACTGAATATACTAATGAATTCTTTTGGGCTCTGTGTGCTATCTGAGCTGCTATGATCTCTGTCGTAGATTCTACGATTTTCCATTGTAGGCAGCCCTTTATTACTGTTAGAATAAGATAATCGTTATGATACTATGAATGAAGGAAGTATGCTGCAAATATGTATGCTGTTAATTTAGTCCTTTATGTTTCCATGGTACTGTTTATGCTTCTTCTGATTCTCAGATTTTTTCTGGTTGTCTTATGCCGTGCGTTTGATTAATGTGTTGTTTGAATCATGTTATGCATTACTAAATATATATTTAGCAGTTAAAACGTTTACACTGTGTAAAATCTTATCAATTACCATGATGTCATGCCTTCTTTTAGAAAATATTAAAAACTTTAGAAATAATATATTAAAAAAAAAAAAGAAAAAGTTTACGCCAAGTATATAAAAAAGTATCGATTGTACGTTCCAATTTTCCTAAACCAAAAATATTATTTTAACAAATAAAAGTTGTAAAAAAAAAACAAATATGATATCATACAAGTTGCCAAGTATTTGATTAAACATAGAGACAAAAGTATTTTTTTTTATTAACCGTTTAAACTATGCAACAGTATATGCAGCAAAATTAAATTTAATGCCATTGTTTTTTCAAATAATTTTAGATCGGAAGAGCAC